TAGGTGGCCTCCGAGGTCCACCGCTGACACGGAGCGCCGGAGCGCGTGGTCCTGGCGGTGCCGCGGTAGGCCAGCCCGCGGCCCGCGTAGCAGCGGGCCTCCGTGTCTGGAGAGAGAGGGGGCTCCCGGCAGCCGGGGGTGGCTCGCCGCCCCTCCCGTGGCCCTCTCGGGCACTTTCCGCGTCTCCCTTCTCCCTCTCAGGCCCTTCCCCGTGGGCGCTGGGCTCCTGCTTCCCTGAGACCCTCGCTCACCCACATCGCAGAAGCGGCCGGTGTAGCCGGCGGGGCAGTGGCACAGGCGGTGGCCCTCCGCCTCCAGGCAGCGGCCCCCGTTGAGGCACGGGTTGGTGCGGCAGGCTGGGGGAAGGACCACATGGAACCACCCCTGGGCCCCGAGACCGGCGGAGAGCTCCCCTGCACGGGTGGCCCGGCCTCTTGCCAGAGACCCTCCTGGCCTTGGGCACCGCCCCACCCCCTCCCAGGCGTCCGCTCACCCTGGCTGGCCAGCAGCTTGCAGTGACTATCAGGACCCCTGCACTGGCATCTGACCACACCTGCCGGCTCAGATCTGTACCAGATCTCATTCTGGTCAAAGAACTGGAGAACCTGACGCTCAAAGCATTTCTCTGGGGACAGAGAGGGGCAGGGGTTTCAGGAGAGGAAGGGCCACGCCAAGCTTCTGGGGATCCAAGGACCTCTTCTGTAGGCGCAGGGTGGCCCCTGTTCCTGGCGCCCCCTCCCCTGGCCGCAGGCATTTCCGCACCTCTCTGGCAGTGCTTCCCGCTGAGGTGTTCTGGACAGAGGCAGTGTGGGCCGCCAGGTGTGTTCACACACGTCCCTCCTTTCTGGCAGGGGCTGTGTTTGCTGCAGTGGTCTGAGAGACAGACATGGTGGGGAGCCTGAGTCAGACAGAGGCGAGCCAAGGCCCTCCCTGAAGTATGTGCCTTGCGACCTGGGTACTCCATGTTTCCGGGCCCTAGTTTACCCACCTACAAAATGGGGCTACCGCCTTCCCAGAGTTCTCCCTCTGGACTTCTGAAGGGTATTGTGGAGGAAGGGAAAGGGCTGGGTCTAGAATCCCAGATGTGTGGGGGTCTGAAGATACCCAGGAGAGTAACGGGGGACAGGGCCTGGGGCCACCCCAGCAGCTGTGGGCAGACCTTTCACTTTCTTGGGCTCCAGGCAGTACGCCCATCGCTGGTCCTGGTCGAAGTTGGGGGTGGTAGCACACCTGTGGGAAGAGACGAGGCTTCCCTGCTCTGCCCAGGGGCCTGGTCCACCCTCCCACCACAGCCGCCCCCCAGCAGAGCGCCAACCCCTGGGGGAGCCTTACCAGGGCTGGGGGCCTGGCCGGCCCCGGCGGGTGCATTCGTGGTACAGCCTCCGACGGTACTGGAATGGGAAGTGGCAGGGCTCCCCGGTGACAGTGAGAACTGCAGGGACAACACACTCCTTGAAGACCTCCCCGGGTCCAGCTGCCCCCCAGGGTCTGGTTGGAAAAGCGACAGCCCCTGGCAAAGATCCTTGTGCCTTCAAGACAGCATCCCGCTTAAGGAGTCAGGTTCTGGGGTCAGCCTGCTAGGGTAGACTCCAGACTCCATTGCCTGCGGCTGCGTGACCTTGGGCAAGGCTGCAGCCCCAAGACCTGGAAGAGTACCTGCCACAAAGTGGACACTTATTAAAGACTTGAACTCCGGAGTTACTTTAACCACTCTGAGCCTTGCTTCCCTTGTCTGTAAAATGGCGATAATAATAGTATGTCCAATCCCACTGTTCACTGATTCCATTTTTTTTTTTTTGAGTTGGAGTCTCACTCTGTCACCCAGACTGGAGTGCAGTGGCTGCTCCCAGCCACCATAGCCTCGACCTGCTGGGCTCCGGCGATCCTTCCACCTCAGCCTTCCGAGTAGCCGGAATTACAGGCATGTGCTACCATGCCCAGATGATTTTTTGATTTATTGTAGAGATGAGGTCTCGCCAAGTTGCCCAGGTGGGTCTCGAACCCGCGGGCTCAGGCAATCCACTCACCTCAGCCTCCCAAAGCACGGGATTACAGGCTGAGCCACTGAGCCCGGCTGATTCCATATTTGAGAGTCTGCCTGCTTGCCAAAATGTATGTGTAACCCGGAAATCAGTACTCGCGATACCGTCACGGTCATTGGTGGGCATGCACGGAGCAGTGGCAAATGTGCACATTTCCATTGCTGAAGAGCCGTCTGGTGTTCCTGAACACACGGGAAGGCCGTGAGGGGCCTTAGGTTAATTGTGCACTGGGCAAGCTTCATGCAGGCAGGAGTCACAGAGCCGTCCACCATGAGGTCAGTGTCAACGAACCAACAATACACACATGACATGGAATGTCTTTAGCCAGAATCACACATGAAGCGAGGTTATATGCTGATGGTGAAAATGTGGCCGTGGCCGGGCTCGGTGGCTCAGCCTGTAGTCCCGTGCTATGGGAGGACAAGGTGACTGGATTGCCTGAGCCCGTGGGTTCGAGACCCACCTGGGCAACTTGGCGAGACCTCATCTCTACAATAAATCAAAAATTAGCCAGGCGTGGTAGTGCGCGCCTCTAGTTCTGGCTACTTGAAAGGCTGAGGCGGAAGGCTCGCCAGAGCCCAGCAGGTCGAGGCTGCGGTGGCTGGGAGTGTGCCACTGCCCTCCAGCCTGGGATGGAGTGAGACTCCAACTCAAAAAAAAAAAAAGATGCTAATGGAAACCAGGCTCGGTGGCTCAGCCTGTTATCCCCGCGTTTTGAGATGCCGAGGCGAGTGGATTGCCTGAGCCCATGGGTTCAAGACCAACCCAGGCAACTTGGCAAGACCTCGTCTCTACAATAAATAAAAAAACTTAGCAAGGTGTGGTAGCGTGTACCAGTAGTTCTGGCTACTTGGAAGGCTTAAGAAGGATTGCCTGAGCCCAGCAGGTCGACGCTGGGGTGGCTATGAGTGTGCCAGTGCACTCCAGTCTGGGTGATGGAGTGAGACTCCAACTCAAAAAAAAAAAAAAAGATGCAAATGGAGCCAGACATTGTGGCTCATGCCTGTAATCCCAGCACTCCCAGCACTTTACAGGGCCAAGGTGGGAAAACCGCTTGAACCCAGGAGTTCTGGACTAATCTAGGCAACATTGCGAGACCCTGTCTCTACAAAAAATTTTAAAAATTAGCCAGGCATGGTGATGCGTGTCCGCAATCCTAGCTACTCAAGAGGCTGAGGCAGAAGGACTGCCTGAACCCAAGGAGGTCACTGCTGTGGTGGGCCGTGATCATGCCACTGCATTCCAGCCTGGGCAACCCCCTGACTCAAAAAAAAATATGCAAATAGAATGGACAGAGGAGACGCCTCTAGGCAGGAGATGAGGTAGGGACAGGATACCTAGGTAGTCAGGCAAGAGGGAGGAGGGGCAGAGGTTAGGGAGTCCAGGGTTGGATTGTGCTTAACCTCAACGTGATGGGCAGGGCCTTCACCCCACCAGACCAGGCCCATCAGAGCAGGAGCCATCTGGCTCCCCAGCCCTGGCACGTTGCATGCTGTAAGGACTATCTAGTGCCTAGAAAAATGAAGGTAACGGAGAGCTATAGTAGGGCTTGAGGAAGGGGGAGATGGCAGGTAACCCTTATCTAAAGGGGAGATTGATAATAAAGGCAAACATTTTTCTTTTCTTTTTTTTTTTGAGTTGGAGTCTCACTCTGTCGCCCGGACTGGAGCGCAGTGGCTGCTCCCGGCCACCGCAGCCTCGACCTGCTGGGCTCCGGGGATCCTTCCGCCTCAGCCTTCCAAGTAGCCAGAATTACAGGCATGCGCTACCACGCCCGGCTGATTTTTGATTTATTGTAGTGATGAGGTCTCGCTGCCCAGGCGGGTCTCGAACCCGGGGGCTCAGGCAATCCACTCACCTCGGCCTCCCAAAGGCTCAGGATTACAGGCTGAGCCAGCGAGCCCAGCAAGGCAAACATTTTTCAAGTATTTGCCACGCATCGGGCTCTGGGCTGAGCATCTCATATAGATTCTCCTTCCTGACAACCCCAAGAGGTTTACCATTATCAGCCTGGTTTTACAGCTGTGGAAATCCAAGCTTGGAGAGGTCAAACCACTCTCCCAGAACCACCCAGCTCGCCTGGATTCAGAGGCGTTTGAGCTCCAGAGACCTGCTCTGGACTTTTCCCTGCCCATCAAGAGCCCTGACCCCTGTTGACATGACTGATGCCCACAGGATGTATTGAGGAAAGAAAAAGAAGGGAGACACTGAGGAAACTGAGGAGGACTGGCAGCAGCCCAGGTGTGATGGCACCGCAGCATCCACACCAAGTGACTGCTCTGAGCCAGGCCCATGAGCACTCAGGAAAAAAAAAAAAAAAGACACAAATGGAACGGACAGAGGAGAGCCCTCTAGGCAGGAGATGAGGCCGAGACAGGGCATCAAAGTTGTCAGGCAAGAGGGAAGAGGGTGGAGGCTGGGGGACCAGGGTTGGATTGTGCTGGACCTCAATGTCACGGGCAGGGGCTCCACCCCACCAGACCAGGCCCGTGCCCACCCACAAGGGGCCCACAGCTCACCCTCACTCAAGGCCCCCAGCGCCCATGGACACAAGCCCCAGCACACAGTAGGCACTTGGGTTTGAGAGTCAGCCAGATAGCCCTGGGGACGTGTGGGACAGATGCCCAGGATCCCGCCCTTGCTCCAAGGGCCAAGGCTGCCCTGAGACTGCCCACACCCCACCACACTCGTCAACAGCAGCTCAGGAGAAGGGAGGCCACCTACCCACAGTGTGCTCGTCCGCTTCGAACTCATGGCCCCTGGGAGCTTTCCAAGGTGGAACCTGCGGGGAGAGGAGGTGGCATGGGCTTTGCCGAGGAAGCCACGGCCCCTGGTCCTGTGCTGGTCCCCAGCTGCCTCTCACAGCCAGAAATGCAGACGTTCTTCCCAACGTCTCCTCCTCCCATCATCTCCTCAAGGCCCCCTCACTCCAGAAAGGCAGGCTGGGCCTGCTGGGCTGGCCTCCCCTTTCCACACCGGCCTCCCAGTCGCCCGGGCCCATAGGTCACGGGCGGAGGCCGCGGCTGTGACAGAGACCCCCAGGGCCATCCTGGCTCAATCCTGGTTCCCACAGCCCTCACCGAACGTGTGAAAGCCAGGATCCCCAGCAGGGACTCCAGGAGCAGCAGAGCCCTCATGGCGTCGGTCTGTTGGTCCCACTGCCTGCCCTGGAGTCCGGATCGATGGGGCTGGCCAAAGGTCTCTGAGGCTTGGGAAGTAGAGATTGATCAAGCTGCCCTTCCGGGCCTGCTGGGGCGCAGGCTGTTTGTGGGAAGCTGAGCAGAGCAGCTTCCTTGGAAGGCCCCGAGGGGTGGGGTAGAATGATAAAGAGCTGGGTCCACCTCTCTGTCCTGGATAGTGGGACTGAACTCGGAGAGGGACATGCTTGTGTTCCAAGCCCTGTTGGGGACGGGGGACAAGGAGAGCAAAGAGAAGCTTCCCACTGGAGATTTCGAGGCCACCGGGAAGTGTATTGGTTTTCTCTTGCTGTGTAAGAAATTTCCGGCCGGGCTCGGTGGCTCAGCCTGTAATCCCACGCCTTTGGGAGGCTGAGGTGAGTGGATTGCCTGAGCCCGCGGGTTCGAGACCCGCCTGGGCAACTTGGCGACACTGCATCTCTAC